AGTCAGATGTTCAACAGCTGAAGGATCTTGTAAAGACTGTAGAGTAAGTAAATGTTTGTAGTGAGTCTAGCTGCTGTCAGCATATTGAACTAAACCCAGTTAGCATCAAAGCTAAGCTCCAGTGTTCCCAGTAAAGCTGCAGCTTCTCAGTGGGAGGAGAATGGTTCAGGCTTCCTGATTGGACACAGAGACAGCAATCAGCCAACCAGGAGCCAGCAGCTTGCTGTGTTCCTGTGTTTGTGTTGGTGTGAAGATGAGTGTTGTTGCTGTGTCCATGTCTCCATGAAGTCCAGCGGGACTCTGGCGTCCATCCGTCCGACATGTTGATCAAATGATGACATCACTGTTATCATATTTTAGTCTTTTTATGATCCAGATTGATTTAATTAGAACTGAATTTATTTCTTCTCTCATCACAGAGTTGGTGGCTGTAGGCTCCTAAAGGCTCAATGTGAGGTTATGGCCTCAAATCTGAAGTCCAACCCAGATCTGACTGAACTGGAAATCAGTGAGATGAACATAAATAAAGCTGGAGACTCTGATATGAAGAATCTGTTTGAGATCCTGGAGAGTTCAGTCAGTAAAGTGAAGAATCTGAGGTTTGTTTTCTCTATTTATACAATAAAGTCATTCATTGATACTTTAGTCCTTAGTTTAATTAATAATTTAATTGTAATATTTTAAAACAACCTTTTTAAATGTCAGATTAAAATCTCTAAAACATTTTACCTTATAAATGAATTATTTTCTTATTTCAGATTTTGTGATTATTGAACTTTGTTTTTCAGTTTTTAAAATGTTTCTGACTGAACAAACTGAGTAAAATAATTCAAATGAAGTTAATTAATGATGGAGATGTTTCATTTTGGTTTGTAAAGATTCAGATTGTTTTATTTCTGATTCTCATCTTTACATCCAGAATGACATGCTGTTACTCCAGAGCCGAACCAGGGTCACATCCACAAACACTGACCAGTTCAAATAATCATTAATGAAACATCTAAGAAGTGACTGATTGTAGAAAAGCAAATCTAGATTAAATGAATGTCAGTGAGGTTTGCAGCAGCAGCTTTGTCCTGAAGCTGTGGTTCTGTGGGGGCTGGGTCAGAGAGGAACCGTCCTCTTCAGTCTGTCAGCTGTCAGTCAGTTGGAGCCTTGTCTCTGTGATGAAGCTTCATCAGGTCACGTCTCCTTAGGAAATAATGGCCTCCATTGGCTTTCAGCAGCTTTAAGAAGAACCCAAGGCCATTGATGAATAAACTGAGTGGTTCTGATCCGGTTACCAAGTTGGATCTCCAGCTGATGATCAGGAACCAGCAGAAATAGCTCACCTCATCCAGGCTGCTGCTCATAGAAAACTTTGAGTTTCTTGTTGATCAAATGTTCTAGTTCTGCTGGTTTGGACTCTTTAAACCAGTTTGACTGGATCAGATGTTTGAATCAGTTCATCATGTTTGTTTTACATTCAGGGAAATAAATTTTCTACATTTTTATTATTTATTTGTTCATATTTCAGTTTTAACTGCATCCTGTTGGCTTCAGCTCATCTTTTATTCTTTATTCAGATTGTGGAGCTGCAGTTTGTCAGAGACCAGCTGGACGTCTCTGTTCTCAGCTCTGAAGTCCAACCCGACCCATCTGACAAAACTGGAGCTGAGCTACACCAACCTGGGAGATTCTGGAGTGAAGGAGCTCTGTGGTTTTCTACAGACTGAAGGCTGCAGACTGGAGAGGTTGAGGTATTTTGATCATATAATTATTGATATTTCTGTGAATATAATTGATCATAAATCAAAGTTCATTTCTTCTGTTCTAATAAATAATTTCTGAGTTTGTTCCTGGATCCAGAGCTTAATATAATCCCTCTGTGTAACTGAGTTGGACCTGCTGACCTGAGGTCACAGGACAACATTCGGACCCCTCATGTCAAGCAGGTCAAAGGTCATTCAACCCAGTCTAGAAAAGTGAATTCCTGGAATCTGACAGGAACAATCAATGATTGATGCTTCAACACTTTGATCAGAACCTTTAATGATTTTACAGACTAAAATCCTCCAACATAACATGACCCAGTACCAGGTTCTGGTTCTGGTTCTGAAGTCAGCAGGTCTTTATTGAAGCAGCAACTTGTTGGCTTTAATATTCATGAAAATATTTAACTGGTTCTGTTGGACTGGTTCACCTGCATCCTGTTGGCTTCAGCTCATCTTTTATTCTTTATTCAGGTTGATCAGATGCAGATTGTCAAAGATCAGCTGTGATTTTCTGGCCTCAGCTCTGAAGTCCAACAGCCTCCATCTGACAGAACTGGACCTGAGAAACAACAACCTGAAGGATTCAGATGTTCAGCAGCTGAAGCGTTTTGTAAAGACTTTACAGTAAGTAAATGTTTGTAGTGAGTCCAGCTGCTATCAGCATATTGAGCTAAACCCAGTTAGCATCAATG